TTGTATGAAACTATAAACTTAGTATTTTGACATCACACACGCTTCTAATTTGAATCAGTGCTGCATTCAACATACCATGAGACACACAAAAATCAATGTTTAACTGTGTTTTTTTATTACTTACTTTTAAATTAAGAAATTGATTAAGGTATAATTCTAAAATTTGAATTATAATCTACAGTTTGATACCAAACATAAATTCATAAAATAGCAGTTCAATAAAATTTTTAATGCAAGTCAACAAATGCAATGACATGGCCTTTCACCCATGACCCATTTGGAAAGGGTTAAACTGTGGGAGGAGTTTACAGACAAACAAACACACAACAGGAAATGGAATAGGATAATAAAGGTTGTCGAAAAATACCAATTTAAAATACTTACAATTTTAACATTTCTTTACATAAAAACATGTTTATTCTCAGAGCCAAACTGAAATTATGGAAAAATAAAATATTGAACTGGAAAACATCAAAATGTATCACTCTCATTTTCTACCCACACATTACTTTGTTACATAGGTTATATTAAAAGTTTAAGAATTATTCTCCTTAGAGCAATACATATTACTTGTTCTTGTTCTGTTCAGTTGAAGGGAGAACTAAAATTAAATCGAATACAAAGTTCTAAAAGACCCCTCAAAGCATCTTAAAAAAACTAACTACTGAAAAAAACAAAAAAAACTATACACTGAATTTTCCCTAAAACAACTTTGTTGTTTATTTCAATTACACCTGAAGTTCATCTTTACAAACCTTCCTTGTTTGAGGTTAATGTGTTTTCCTTAACAGAAAAACTTTAGTTGAACAAATTCATGAGCCTAATTCTGGTGAATCAAACTTTTCTAGCTTTTGCAATAGTCTGCATAAAAATGTTATGTATCATTCAAATTAATTGCACTCTTATTTCAACAAAGCTAATTAGTGTAAAATTTGGGGGGAAGTTTTATATCATATTTTTTATAATTTTGATCATGCAGTTGATATAACTGATTATCAAAATTTGTTTTTCATGTTGTTTTTTTAAACAACTCATACTGCATAAAGTTAAAAGAACCATTTCTAAGATACTGCACTTTCAAGCTTAAAAGTACATGTACAGATATAATTGCAGAATATAAAAATATGAAAGCAACCAGGCAGGTGAAAGTAAAAATTCAATCTTGAACAGGTACAGAAAGAAAAAAAAGGTTCCCCTGCTGGCTCAGTGGTAAGCTTGAGGGCTTATAATGTTAAAATTTATTTCATTCCTTGCAGTGGGCACAGTACAGACAATACATTGTGTGGCTTTGCTAGTAAAGAAACTAATGACAACTGAAAAAATGTATCTTTGTGCCCCTGTACTATTAGTAGCAGTCGCTGCAGAAAAAAGCTTCCTTTATACTTTTTTTACTTAAAATAACTCCTTAAAAACAGCGAAGTATAAGGAAATTTCTGTAAAAAAAAAAACTAAATACTTTTCTTCTAGGT